AGTTGAGCACCTACTGTGTGCCAGAGGATTGAAGACTACCCTTATGAACCCAGTCTATGTTTATGGAGCTTCTGCATACTGGGGTTTCCCTAGCTCACTCCATATGTATTTACTGAGCATCTGCCCTGAACTAGGGCATTAATCTAGGCAGCAGTACTGAATATAACATATTTCTAATATGGGCTTTCCTCTCCGTAACGCTAGCAGGTGGATATGGACTCCCCTGTTTCCCAGCCAAGGAAATTCTGGCCTGGAGAATGTAAGGCAGCAATCCCAGTGACAGTGTCATTCAGGACAGCCCTAGACAAGGTCCCCAGCCACCAAGCTCTGATGTCAGAGGTAATGTCGGCCTTGTACTGACCACAGAGTCTTGCAAAAGGCCACAGAGACAAGTACATTGCTCTATATTGGCTCACCTACATGGGACCCCACTTCAGCTACTTCCTCTCTGTGTTCCACAAGAGTGTTCCCTCTCCCTTGTCCTGCCTGGAGGTCATAACTCTCAGGGAGGTCGATACCTCTCAGGGTTGCCATGGAGGCAGGAGGAATGCCAGGCTGTTTTCTTCCCTGATCCCAGGACAGGGCCCAGTACGGATGTTCATGAACGTGCCATGGCTGTGACCACTGACTGTCTCTGCATTTGAGTCTCCTCAAAGCCTGTTCCTTGGAGTGACTAAGGGACAGGCTGATGAAGTCCCCAAGACAGCTCAGGAGCCTCTCTTCAAAGACTAACCCCCTCACTGACATTCATCATCCTGTCCTCCAGCTGCTCAGAGAGCCCTCAGTACTGTAGTATCTCCTCGGCCAGGTCTCTGAAAGTCAGGTGGACATCTTTACTGTCTGCCCTGCATCCATCACAGGAGGATGACAGAGAGTATTCCAGCCAGGTCACCCTGGAGGACACTTGAAGAGCAAGAATGAGTGTCCTAGGCCTGGGTATCTACACACAGGCTATCCTGGAAGGTTCCAGAGCTGGGACAGTGCACTAGCCTTGAGTGGCAGAGCTAGGATCCTTTCCCCAAAGCCCAGTGGCTGTCTGAACCGATAAATCCCACAGTGTATGCAGACAACTGATGTAGACAGCAGCAAGGAAGGCTGAGAGGGATGGGGGGATGAGGGACATGGGGTTCTGTGCAGTGGAGCTGAGAGGGAGTTCTCTATTTCTCACCTGACACCCCCATCCTCTGCAGTCCCCCCCCCCCCAGGAATCCACATGATACGGTTTGTGTGCCTACTGATCCCAGACCTGCCTAGGAAGGCGGGGCTCAGCCCTGGGCTCTACTCATGAAAGTCAAGGCCAAACCCACAGCACTCAGGGCCACCAGCCTGGGCCACCTACACCTTGCATAGACACACACAGGCCTGGACCCGCGGACCTTCATCTGGGTTCCTGATTGATCCTGCTCCCCAGCCTGCCCCCACCTTTTTCTTCCAGAGATGAAAAGGGCAGAACCGGTCCCTCCTGTGACTCTCCATCCCCCTGCCTCCTCCGCCCTGCCCTCACCTCTCTCTCTCCCCTTCCCTCCCTGACCAGCTGGGCCCTTCATCTTCTTACCAATCCCCACCTCTCCCCGCACCTCACCCCGCGGTCTCCAAGGTGCCTCTTCCTTTCCCTACTCCACCTCCTCTCACTCCCCAGCCCTCTTCTCTTCCGGTGCCCCGGTCCTCCCGTTCTTCTCCTCATCTTGCTCCCTCCTCCTCTTCCTCCTCTACCCTGATTACATCCTCCATTTACTGAGCACCTACTGTGAGCCGGGCTGAGTACTGAGTACAGGGCTAAGAGACAAGACCCTGCTGACATGATGAGTTTGGAGTCTTGATTCTTCCACCTCCCTCCTCCTCTTCTGTGTGTCTTTCCTCCTCCACACCTTCCTCCCTACCTTCCTGCAGCTTCTGGTCATTCCATTTCCTCCCAGCTTGCCCTGGCATCGGAAGCCAACAGTCATGGTGGGAGTTGGGAGCAGTGGGTCTGCAGAGTCCCAGTCTGCAGGCGGCAGCAGGCACCCTTGCTGTCATCGCCCACCGTGAGTGGCAGGCGGCGAAGGAGACTGAGGCCTGAGAGACACTCATCACCCCCACCTCCTTTCGGGGCCAAGACAGCATGGAAATGACTTTTGTCAGCTTGGCAGCAGGCCACCGGCCCTGACAGCTCAAAGCTGTTTATTACAAAGGAGAATGAAATGAAAAGAGAGTGTGTGTGTGGGTGTGTGTGTGTGTGGGTGTGTGTTGGAGAAGGTGTTCCAAAGCACTACTCTCTGCAAGCATGCCTTTGGGTGATTGGAAAGCAGCCACTGGGCTCCACACTCAGTGCTCAGCCAGGTGCAGCTGTGATGGGACAGGAAGTGACAGGCGGGACATAGGAAAGCAGGGACAGCTGCTGGGGAGAAGTGTGAAGCTTTTGTTTTAGCATACGGGACCGTCCACTTCTTGCGGGGTGATGCAAGGTCACCGCCCATGTGGTGGTCAGTTTTCCCTTTATCCATCTTAATTCCACATGTGGTCTCGTCTCGCTGTGTCTCATGGTGGGTTACATCTGGAGGCTGGAAGGTTAGGGATGGGATGGTGATAACCAAAGCCATGTGTGATGAGCTGTGACTCGTTCCTGTGTTCCCCTTGATTGAAGAACAGATGCCGAGTGCAGAATCAAGAGCTTTTCTTCTTCTTTTCCCTAACCAGCTGCCCATGAGGCCAATGTTGCTGAGCAGGGAAAGTGGGACTCCCTGGAGGGCAGGGGACACATAGAACAGGGGCTGAAGATGGGGAGGTCCTGGCTCGTTGTCATCGTCCACGCTTGTGCTGCCTGGTCCGCAGCACGGAGCAGGGGTCGATGAGTGCAGCCAGCCCTATGCTCCATCCTCATGAAGCTGTTTGGTGGGACCCATGATGAGCTGACAGTATCTCACAGGTGCCATGCTGGCAGGATCCCCTAGGAGAGAAACCCATGGGATGGGGAGGCTCTGGCCTCTGATGTCCTTTGAGTTGTGATAACAAGATACCATAGTCCAAGTGGCTTATAAACCGTAGAAGTTGTGTTCTCAACCTCTGAGGGCTGAAAGTCCAAGTTCATGGAGCCAGCAGATTCACTGTCTGCTCATGGGTGGCTGTCCTCTCTATCCCGGTTTGAAGGAATGGGGCAGTTTAGCTGTCTGAAGTCGTGTGTGTGTGTGTGTGTGTGTGTGTGTGTGTGTGTGTGTGTGTGTGTGTAGGCCAGAGGTCAACCTCAGATGGACCCTTAGGATCCATCCACCTTGGGTTTTTGTTTTTGTTTTTTGAGACAGGGTTTCTCTGTGTAGCTTTGCGCCTTTTCCTGGAACTCACTCAGTAGCCCAGGCTGGCCTTGACCTCACAGAGATCTGCCTGCCTCTGCCTCCCTAGTGCTGGGATTAAAGGCATGCGCCACCACCGCCCGGTTTTGAGACAGGCTCTCTCACTGGCCTGGAGCTCACAGATTAGCATAGCTGGCTGGCTAGTGATCTGCGGGGGCCTCCTGTCTCTCCCTCCTTAGTGCTGCGTGACAAGCGTACACTGTCACACCAGCCTCCATGTGCCAGTTTAAGTCCTCATAATTGTGTGGCAAGCACTCTACCAACTGAACCACTCCCCCCCCACCCCAACCCTAGGGCTTTGTATAAGGGTAAAAATAGGGGATTGATCCCATGTAAGAGACTCACCCTCAAAGCTGGTCACCCCCAAGATTCCACCGCCTAATACCTGTGGGGTGTAATCACAATCTAAGAATATGGAGGTTGGCAAAGACCTGGAACCCTCGCCTAGCTGTGCCCTCCCATCTCCTGTCAATCATCTCCTCTGGGGGCCTCAGTGTGGCTGTATCCTCAGATTCCAGACTACCGCCCCTCATGAGCTACCCTGTGTGATTTGGGGTGGAGGTGGCGGATTCCAGCCAGGAGCAGGATGGATGCTTTCCTCAAAGCTTTGTACCAGCATCCCAGCCACCTTTGGCATGTGGCAGACCTCCTACACTTGTCCCGATTGTCACAAAGCCAACAAGCAACCAGAGCCTGAGTACACCTTGTTCCCACCTCACGGCTGGCCTGCTCTGGCTGCTTCGTCTGCCATTGCCAATCCTGACATCTGCTGTTCCTTTCTGTTTCTAAATAAATTATGAGAATTTGCCGGTGGGTGGACAGCAGCTTATTTCCCTAAAAGGGGGACACAGAAAATTTTTGTTAATGGAAACACCCCTGGCCTGTCACCTCTCTCCTTTAAAGAGCACCCTTTATTTTATGCTCTATAATTCCCTCACACACCACTCAAGACTCCGGCTTTGGGGATGGGGGCTTTGGGGATGTGGTGCCCAGCTGCCATAAACTACTGCATAAAAATGGAGACTGTTCTATCCCAGAATAGAAAATGCCTGCCCCCCTCGATACGCCCCTCTTCCCCCCCCCCCCCACTCCTGTAGAGATCTGGCTTCAAGTTGATTTCATGTGAATCTTTTCCTTTAGGGGAAATGGTTTTTAAATGCCCCCCCCCATCCTTCACTCGACGAAGCCACCAGAGGTCTCATGATGTCCCTCACTGAGACACAACTGGGGTACCTGATGTCCTGGCACCCCACTTGTTGGAGTCAACCTCTGAGCTTAGCCTTGGATAAATAAGTCACCCTGCATGTTTCCCCTCCAAGCATGGGAAAATGAATTACTTGCTTATCACACACCAGGCTCTGGAGTGATGCTCTATCCTGTCAGATAGAATGTCCCATAAGTCCAAGTCACCCATAGTAGCCGCGGTGTTTATCCACTCAGATGTACTTAGCTGGGTTTAATTATAGATAGAAATTGCATCTCAGAAAGCAACGCAAAATCATTTACACAGCTGGAGTTTCCACATCACATCACATGATTCACTCCAGGCTGCGGCAGGGACCGCCTTTACCAAGACAAAATAACACTCACGCCCAGGCTTAGTGGCTCTCGTGTGGGTCTCAAAAATTGTATGAATTGTGGTTTCTAGCGGTTGCATCTTTCTTCTTGACACAGGGTGAGTGAAGAGTCCAGAGATGCTGAGAAGCTGAGACCAGCGTCGTCGGCATCGGCGCTGAGTGGAGCCTGGGATGCTCCCAGGCAGACCACGAGGGGTGGTTCCGCGTCTCTCCACCCAGTCTTCCCACAAAAGGCCTACCATTTGGGGGATGGGGAAGGCTTTGCTGTCCACGGAAAAACCACCCCAGAGCGATCAGTTACCCTGTCCTCGTCTCCCCCTTCTCAAAGCATGGCGGCGTCACCCTTGCCCAGGGACAAGCTCCCCAGCCCGTCGGCTGCTCTCTCAGAGTTTGTGGAAGAGCTCCGCAGGAAGAGGGCCCAGAGAGGCCAGGGTTCCTCTCTGCACCTGGGGGAAGGACCCACGCTCCCCATTTTCCAGACCACTGGGGCTTCCTCACTTAGGAGGGGCAGAGCCAGCAGCGACGAGGGAGACCTCTCACTGAGGACTGGAGCAAAGTCTCCTCTGGGAGCAGAGGGGAACCCCAGGGCCACAGCCGGTCTCCCACGGTCCACCAGTCTCAAGTGTATCTCCTCAGAGGGCACCGAGAACGTCGCCCTGATGCCTGACAAGCAGAAGACACGGTTTGGTTCCTGTGAGTCCCTCTTAGAGTCAGGACCCAGCACAAGGAGAAAGCTGAGCTCCCCCGTGGCACTCAGGGACCCACTCTTATCACCGACGCTGCGGCCCAGGAGGCGGTGTCTGGAGTCCCCTGTGGATGATGCGGTCTGCCTGGACCTTGGGAAGGAACCTCTCGTCTTCCAGAACCGCCAGTTCTCTCATTTGATGGAAGAAACTCTGGACAGTGACCCATTCAGCTGGAAGCTTCCGAGCCTCAATTACAGACGCCAGACCAAAGTGGACTTTGATGACTTCCTTCCAGCCATCAGGAAGCCCAGCGCTCCTTTGTCCGAGGCTGCCAAAGATGGGACGGAGGCTTCAAAGCATCCAAACGTCCACTTTGAGATGGAAGAGGCCGACCGCTCTTTTCTCTCGGGGATCAAAACCATTTTGAAAAAGAACCCAGAGTCGAAGGAGGACCCCGCTCACCTCTCCGACTCCTCCTCATCCTCCAGCTCCATCGTATCCTTCAAAAGTACAGGCAGTATCAAGAGTGGTCCAAGAGTCCCCAGACTCCAAGGTGACGGCGGCGAGCGGATGTCCCCCGAGCACAGAGAGCCTGACCCTGGGAGGAAAGGGGACGATGTTGAGAGCATAATGAGGAAGTACCTCCAGCAGTAGAGACTGGTGCAGGTAAGGACAGCAGGCCAGGTCACCCCCAGGCCAGGCAGCCTCCAGGGGGAAATGGGGTTCTGCTTTAATTCTGGGGTGGCTTGATCCAAGGTGTCAGGGGCCGAGGCTGACGTCACCCACGGCACTGTAAGTGGTAGGAGGCTGCGTTGGAAAGCAGAGGGCCCTGGGGGATGCTGCTAAAGGCAGTGACAGGGAGCTGAGAGACAGTTCAGGTGGCAGAGTGCTTTTCCAGCAAGAATGAGGACCTGAGTTCGGATGCCCAGCACCCATGTATAAGCCAGGCAGGCGTGGTGTCCAGCTCAGGAGGTGGAGACAGAGGAGACCCGTCCGGCATGTAGGCTAACCGAGGGGACAAGCCCCATGTTCAGTGAGACCCTGGCTCAACATATAAGATGGAGAGAGGCTCAGGAAGACACCAGATGTCTGCCTCAGGCCTCCACGGGCACGTGCTTACACATCTGCACACATGTGAGAGGTTCGGGGAGGTGGCTCAACCAATAAAGAGCTTGCCTTGTAAGCGTAAGGACCCGAGTTCAACCCCCCAGAGCCCATGTAAACATTGCTGAGTGTAGTGGCGTGTACCCCAACACTGGAGAAGTGGTGGCAGTGGGGGACTGGGGCTCACTGGCCAGCCCTACTAGCCTAGTTAGTGAGTTCTGGGTTGAGTGAGAGGCACTGTCTCACCCAAAAGGCAAGGTGGATATCTCCCAGGGAACAACTCCTAAGGTTGTTCTCTGGTCCTGACAGGCACACATGTGTGCACACATGCAGCTGCACGCACACACACACGTACACACGCACGCGCACACACACACACACGTACACACGCACACACACACGTACACACGCACGCACACACACACACACACACACGTACACACGCACACAAAGACAGTGCCGGCCTTCCAGTGGCCCCACTGAGTCTTGTTCCCTTAACCTCTTTCCACGTGGGGTGGAAGGGGCTGATGTGGCATTCTATCTACAGAATGTTCTCACTGAGCCACCGAAGGTCGGATTGGAGGGTGCATGCATACCGAAGGGAGAGATCCAGTGTTTGCTTTATCTGTAGGAGAGACACTGGAGCCTGGGATGGGGGCTGGGAAACGTGTGCAGAGTGTGCAACAAGAGAGCAGCCAGGGTTTTCCCACCTCACCTCTGTTCCCAGCCCCAATCCTGCACAGTGCATACAGGTGTCCATCACATGCGGACTGACCTCTGTCCAGTGCATGTATCAGCTGCGGGTTACTGCTCACGGTAACCCAAGAGGTGGTTAGCACTAGTTACCCTTTATCCCCATTTCACAGGCTGACCAACTAAGGAGCAGAAAGTTCAAAATCACCTAGCCAGACCTGAGACCCAGAACTCCAGCATCCTCCCATCTCTCTCCCAGGCTCACCCTTAGGTCACCCAGGTGTCTTCAGCATGGAAGTCAGTGCAGCTCTGTCTGTGGTACACGGCTAACAATAATGTCCCACTACAGAATCTCAAAGCCCAAGGCTGAGGTCGCCAAGCTGTAGCATGCAGTTGTTCATTGTATGCACTGCCATGGCCCCCGGGCTTCCCAGAAGCCCGTCCTCATGCACACTTTCTCCTTCGAGAGGCACCCTCGGCCCATTGTAAAGTCACAGCCTCTTCCACAGAGACTGGCTTGGACTGTATCCGAGCAGATTAATTTGACTTAGCATGGCCTTCTCTTTGCTCTCAATTACCAAGTAAAGATCTGATATTCATTTACATTATTATGCTCTCGGGGACAGGGGAAGCAGTTTCAAAGGCCAAGTAAAGGGCACACGTCCACATGGGGACGATGCTTGGCACACACTGGCCCAGAACACCTTGTCTCTGCCATTATCCTGGTTTTTAACTCAAGTGTCCTCTTCCCTCTGAGGATGTTCACTGTACTGGGGAGCTCCAACCGCACGTCTCCCAGATTCCCAGGCTGGGGTTCTAAACTGAGCAGCCCAGGCAAACCCCAAGCCCCAGGCACAGCTCCTCCCTCCCCCATGGCTAGCCATGAGACCACAAGTGAGCTATGGGGCCTAGTCAACAGCTGTGTCTCCAGTAGGGTGGGTAGGGGACAGTAACCAGTACCTACAGGGTTAATGGGAATTCAAAAGATCAGGTGGGTTGGTGCTACATGCCTGTGATCCCCATGCCTGGGAGGTTTGGGCAGGAGGGTCACAAGTTCAAGGCCAGCCTGGGATATGTAGTGAGACCCTGTCTTAAATATACACACATACACACAGAGGATTGTATACACACATGCACACACGTATACACATACCTGTACATACACATACACACAAATATATACACACATGTGCATATATACAGAAGCAACACATATACATGCACACATGAGCATATGTATATATATGCATAGACATTGATATACACACATACACACATTTTCTCACACACTTACACACATACAGAAACACACATATACACATTCACACACACACACATACACACACACACACACACACACACAGATAAATAAATACAAGAGACTGGCCTAAGCTCAGTGGAAAGCAGGCTACTTTAACTTTGACACCTGGGTCCTGTGTGGGCCTGCTTCTCATTCCTTTGATCCACTCACCAAGAAGAAAGGCTAACAGTAGCCCAGGGTTCTGGAAGCTCCAGTCCATGATGGATGGGCTCTGTGGCTTTGGGCCTGTGGGAGATACCACAAGGCAAAGCCAGTCACTCAGGGTGGACAGGGAAGAGGAGAGAGAGGAGGAGACGAGGGTCCACAGTGACCTCATGGGGGGCCAGAAACAGCCCGTGGGACCCTACGCTGAAAGTGTTCACCCCTCCCAAAAGCGTCGTGCAAAGAGGCCTTTAAACTTGGGCCTTTGGGTAGAGTCTAGATCCAAAGAACAGCATCCCCTTAGAAATCTGTCCGTCCTCCCTCTGAGGCACCCTTCCACTCCCCAAGTCCTCTCCAGGGAGCCCCCTCCCCCAGGCTCACCAGCCTCATTCCCCATCCCCCTGTGTTTGCTTCCAGCCTCCCCAGACACCACTGCTGCCAAAGACACCCACTCCAAAGTTCTGGAGAGAAAGAGAGAGACCCCCAGGCCCCTGGGGCCCACCACCCAGAGCCAGACACCCTGGTCACCCTCAAGATGTGGGATGGGCCCAGAGAGGCACACCCCAGTGGGTCACCACGCTGCACATGTGCTTGGTCTGGATTCAATAAAGTTGATTTCCCTGGAGTCCGTGTGGTTTCTTCGTTCCGGAATGGCCACCTTGGACTCTGCTGGGGTACGGGTCGGGGAGCGAGGGCCCCAAAGGATGGGATCAACCCAAGCGCTTAGTAAGGTAGGTCTGATACCGTACGTTCACTCTCACCGTGTCTACAGGCCCCGGCCTGCCTCTTCATCAGACCGTGGCCTGAAGTCAACTTTGGGCGTCTCCTTCTGTTATTTTCTACCTTGTTTTCTAAGAGGGTCTCTTTGAGTTTGCACGCACTAATCCAGCTTGCCAGGCTGGCCCCAGGCACCTGTGACAATGCCCCTCCCTAGTGCTGGGATCACAGCCATGCGTCAGTTTATTACTCCTTTTCCTGGGGCTGTCCTAAAACACCATGACCAAGGCAGCTTAGAGATGGAACGGCTTACCGTTCCGGAGGGATGAGAGTCCATCGCCTTCACGGTAGCAAGTGGCAGGCATGGTGGCTGACCCGGGATGCCCAGGGCTCTCATTCCATGAATCGTGAGCTCAAAAAACAGAGAGTAACTGGAAATGGCATGAGTCTCCAAAGTCTCAGAGCCTGCCTCAATGACACACTTCCTAAGCCTTTGCAAACAGAGCCACCAACCGGGGACCAAGTGCTCACGTACACAAGCTCACAGTGGACGTTCATTCAAACCACCACAGCCACGAAGCCCGGCTGTCACATGGGTGCCAGGGATCCACATTCAGGCCCCAGGTTTGTGCAGCAAACGCTTTACCCACTGAACTGTAGCTCAGGCCCGGGTCGTTGTCTGCCATCTCCCTGGATCCACAGTCACCTCCATCCTTCCTGTCATTTCTCTCTGCTTTTATGAGTATACAGGAACACACAAGCGCTGAAAAGCCCAACACCCTGAGCACAGAGACAGGCCATAAATGTGTGTATCCAGTGTGTTTCAGGACCTGTGAATATGCACTCCCCCAGCCTCTCCCACATCCAGCCTCTCCCACATCCAGCCCCTCCCACATCCAGCCCCTCCCACACTCAGCCCCTCCCACATCCAGCCCCTCCCACACTCAGCTCTACCCACACTCAGCCTCTCCCACCCAGCCCCTTCCACACTCAGCTCCACCCACAATCAGCCCCTCCCACCCAGCCCCTCCCATACTCAGCTCCGCCCAAATCAATCCCTCCCATTCACAACCCCTCCCACACTAAGCTCCACCCACACTCAGCCCCTACCACACTCAGCCCCTTCTACTCACATCCCTGCCCACATTCACAGTCCCTCCCATACTCAGCTCCACCCACAATCAGCTCTACCCACACTCACATCCCCCTCATGCTCAGCACCAGCACTCACACCTCGGCACGCTGGAACCATAAACTGCACGGGACACATCTTCCAGCCTCACAGCCGAGATACTGTTTTCTTTAAATACCCTCAAAGGAGTCAGAATAGTGATTACCAGTTAATAACAGCCAGCTAATGGTCATTGACCACACACTACGTGGCTGCTGCTGGGCCAGCATTTCTCACAGTTGTTACCTTGCAGTGTTACAAAAAGTCCCGAAAGATAGCAGCAAAGACCCCCTTCTTAAAAAATAGGACCAAAGGGGTGTGACACACAGAATCAGTGTGTCCATGTCCTCCACCCCAACTAGGGTGGGAACTTGTGAGTTGCTGTGTGGATTGTGGGTGTGACTGTAGGTGCGTCCTGTTTGCCTGGCTATGGGGACAGTCCTCTAGGGCAGGAGTGTGGGTGTCACGTCTCAGTTCTGGAGGATGGATGCCAATGGTCAAGAGGCCAGCCCTCTGAGAACTGTGGGAGCCTCTCCTCATCTCCTGGACGCCTCTTACCACCTCTGCACATCTGGGAGCACTCACCCTAACGGGCTTTTTAAAACTTGATTGCCTGTCTCTAAATAAGGTCGTGGTCTGGCGTCCTTGCTGTTAGAGCTGTGATGTGCCTCTCTTGTGGCATAGGAACGGACACAACTGAATCAAAACTATGGGTAAGAGAAAACAGAGACACATCAGCTCTGAGCATGGCCAGGGGGACGGTGGGAAGAAAAGAGGGTAAGGGCTTGGGCTGGGGTAGAGCCTTAGGTGCGGCACACGTGGGGTGTGGTGGACTTCTGTGCTCCCAAACTGTCTTCCATCGTCCCACCAAAGAGTCATCAGTGGGATGTGAAGGGAGCAGGCAGAACCTCTGTGGGCTCAAGGTCCTGGTAGAGAACAGGGCATGACCCAAAAGCCTGCTGAACTTGGCCATGGGGAACATATAGGAACTACAGGCCGTACCACAGTGCTCACAGGGTCACAGACCCTCTGCCAAGTCACTCCCCTCTGCAAGGCTCAGTTGCTCATCTCTGCAATGGGAGCACTGAGATGGGAAGACATGGGTAAAACAAGCTGCCTTGTTTACTTCAGACCCACGATGGAATAGCACAGGGTGAAAGACCTCAGTCACAGGGTGAAAGGCCTCAGCCACAGCGTTCACTTCAGGAAATAATAACATCTGAGGTCTGAAACCAAGTGCCGTGGACGTTAACTCTGCCAGAGACCATATTCCTAGGCCTACAGATTGTACTGTTCTGTGTGTCCTCGCACACCTTCACCCTGTCTGTCCTCACACACCTTCACTCTGTCTGTCTCCACACACCTTCACTCTGTCTGTCCCACACACCTTCACCCTGTCTGTCCCCACACACCTTCACTCTGTCTGTCCCACACACCTTCACCCTGTCTGTCCCCACACACCTTCACTCTGTCTGTCCCACACACCTTCACCCTGTCTGTCCCCACACACCTTCACTCTGTCTGTCCCACACACCTTCACTCTGTCTGTCCCCACACACCTTCACTCTGTCTGTCCCACACACCTTCACTCTGTGTCCTCACACACCTTCACTCTGTGTCCTCACACACCTTCACTCTGTCCTCACACACCTTCACTCTGTCTGTCCACACACACCTTCACTCTGTCTGTCCTCACACACCTTCACTCTGTCTGTCCTCACACACCTTCACTCTGTCTGTCCTCACACACCTTCACTCTGTCTGTCCTCACACACCTTCACTCTGTCTGTCCTCACACACCTTCACTCTGTCTGTCACCACACACCTTCACCCTATGTGCCCTCACACACCCTCACTCCATCCATCTGGAGTCTCTCTGGGTATGCAGATTTCCTTTCACATGACTCAAGATGTGCCAGAGCCCACCCTAATAGCTTGGCGGAAGGTAATCCCTTCTTTAAAGGTCCCTGCTATAAACATGACCTCTTTAGATGGTACCGAGATCTCTTGCATTTCAGAGGGTCAGAGTTTGACGCAGGGCATGTACCGTGCAGTAGTCTGTGACTGTTTCACACAGTAATAACAGTGTTACCAGCTGCTTGACTATTAGATAAGCATGTCTCATCTCCCAGCCTTTTCCACAAAGCAAAGCCGTTTTGGACGTTGGAAATAAGTTCACACGGCCCTCCTGTGTCTGACTTCCATGCTTTTCTGAGCCTGGAATACATGAGCTTCTGCGAGGTTCTCTGCACCTGCAGCTCTCAGTCAACCAAGATTTGCCGTCACCTGCTCAGTGCCAGGCACCGGTCCCCACACTGAGGACACCATGAGAAGGCAACGGGACAGATGAAAGACCCTGCTCTTCTCTGGGGGACTCTGGAGTTGCAGAGACTCAGGAAGCAAGGTAACAAATCTGCCATCAGAGAGTGAGCCGCTGTGGGAAGAAGAAAAGCTGGGAAAACATTTGTTTTCTGAAACACATTTTACAAAAGAAGAAAGCTGTCACCACCGTTCCGTCATGTACACTGACGCCTCCAGAAAGGTCAAACCTGCTAACAGCAATGAGGCTTTCCTCCCTCAGTCAGGAACAGAAATTCTAAAGAGGATCATTAAGAGTCAATTTGCTAAACCAGACGTGGTGGCACACACCTGTGATCCTAGCACCGAGGCCAGGCAGGGGGATGCCACGCTGGAGGACAGACTGTGCTCTGCAGATTAAGTCTGTCTCAAAACAACAACAACAACAACAACAGCAAAACACAGGGCAGGGAGACAGCTCAGCCCAAGTGCCTGTTGTACAAGCATGAGTCCAGATTCCCCAGAATCAGTGTGAAAAGGCAGCGTCATCCAGTCCTGGGGAGTCGGGCAGGAGGAGCCCTGGAGTTCCCCAGCCAGCTCATATGGTGGAATCCAAGTGTGCCAAGTTCAGCAAGAGACGTCCGTTCAAATAACAAGGTGGAGAGAGACAGGAAGACAGCAGACATCTGCCTGTGGCCTACACACAGAGAGAATAACAGACATACACAGACACACAGACACAGACAGACATGCATGTACATGCGCATACACACACACACACACACACACACACACACACACACACACACACACACACTCCAATGTAATACCCCACAATACAAACCAGATGCCTGGCCTGCAGAGCCCACCCAGGTGGGTGAGTGACCACACCAACATCTCCTCTTCCTTCCACAGAAGGCACTTTAGACAGTGTGTCCCGAGCTCAGAAAAGCCTTAGACAGTCAGGACTAGAGGCACTCAGGGACAACCCTCAAAGTGAGTCTCAGGTGGTGGTTGGTCTGAGACTAGCCTGTCACCCCAGCACCCAGGAGGGGGAAGCAGGAGGATCAGAAGCTCGGGGTTATCCTGGGCTACATTGTGAGTTCAAGGCCAGGCTGGAATACATGAAACTGTGTCTCAGAAGAGAGAGAGAGAGAGAGAGAGAGAGAGAGAGAGAGAGAGAGAGAGAGAGAGAGAGAGAGAGGAGCAGTGGGAAGGGAGGGGATGGAAAGGAAGAGGGGAAGAGAGGAGGAGGAGAGGAAGTGGAGAGGAGAGGGGAGGGGAGGGAAGGAAGATTTCCCCAAAGGTGCTCAGTGTCCAGGCTGAGTTTAGAAGTTTGTGAATACTTATCCATCCAGCAAATCACATGGGCTCTCCTGCCCCGGCCCCGGTGTGCAACAGTGTTGCAGACTCTGGCTGAGGTCAGATGAGCTGGTGGG